CCAAAGGCACCAAAACAAAATGGGAAGAAAAAAACAAAACAAAACAACAAAGCCACATTTCTGGGACAGACCATGAACAAACTATGCTCAGAGGCATATCTAGGCCTTTCTCAGGTTGGTTTCTCTTTAGGATATGGCTTCTTCTCGTGTCTTCACCAAAAATCATCATTTTTCTTTTCTTTTCTTTTTTTTTGAGACAGAGCCTCGAGCTATTGCTCTGGGTAGAGTGCCATAGCATCATAGCTCACAGCAACCTCCAACTCTTGGGTTTAAGGGATTCTCTTGCCTCAGCCTCCCAAGTAGCTGGGACTACAGGCACCCGCCACAATGCCTGACTATTTTTTAGTTGTAGTTGTCATTATTTGGCAGGCTGGGCCAGTTTTGAACCCACCAGCTCTGGTGTATGTGGCTGGCGCCTCAGCCATTTGGGCTATAGGTGCCGAGCCAAAATCATTTTTCAAATCACCACTTGGTTATTATCTCCTTCATGAAGCTCTCTTGACTCTTCCTGGCGTCACTCATCCTTTCCTTCTCTGGGAACCTTGTTCCCTTCTCTTGTACAATCTTATTCTCCATCACATACTCTCCTACATGCTTGTTGGACTCTTTCTCCAAGTGGATTTTAAGCTCCTTAAGGAACTTCGAAACCCAGGAGGAGTTCATGAAACGCATAAATGATTCTTGAATTTTTGTAAATTTTGGGTGGGAAATAATAGAATTTTAAATTACTTATGTAAAAGGAGACACTCTTCATGAATAGAATTTTAAAGTATTTATGTACAAGGAGACATTCTTCATGAAAAGTTTTAATGGTTCTAAAATTTGCTTGCTTTGTTTTTGAAGGACAAACCTCTTTTTGAAACTTCCTTTAAAGAAGCACCAGATTAGTGATTTTTTTTTTTTTTTCAACCTTTGGCTAGTGGTTGGAGAAGAAAAGGGAGGCCAGTGAAGAATGCAGAGGTGGGTGAATTTAAATGCGCTGGTGAGAGAGGACGCTGGATGTCTGACCATTTTCTATAGTCACGGAGCTCAACAAAGTTTACCATTTGTATAGGAATCTTTTAGCTCTTGGATGGAAAAACATCTCTTTCCCGTAAAACTTCATGGAATTTCTACTTCTGGCTGGGGCAACGGTTATTCATTGCAGTCTTGAAAACTTGTGACACTGTTGTCCAAATGGGCACCAAATAAAGTGAGAAAAGAAAAGTCTCAACTACATATTTTAGAATTATTTTTGGTTCCAGGTGATGGACTGGGCAGGCTGTGACTGGCACTGACAAGACTAACCCTTTACTCAGCCCCAAGAGATCACATCTGATCTAAAAACCTTGTCTTCCAAACCAGCCTCCCAAGACACAATGCGACTCCAAGACCTTACTTCATATTCTGGATGACCACACACTCCACCTGCGTCTCTATTTTGCCCAGCACTGGTTTTAGTCTTTAACATGAGCTTCTGTATAGGACCTGGAGGGGATTGGAGTTTTAGGTCTGAATACAGACATGTCCCTTTTCTGGATGATTCTGGCCATCTTGTCTGCCCTCTTTCAATCACTTGGGCTTGGCTGAGTGACAAACATGTACTCCCAGGGACACATCTTATTTCAGAAGAGCCCCTATATTGCAATGGGACTCTGAATCAAGTAGACAGCTCTCTAGGAAGAATCTCCAATTAGTTTAAAAATGTTGACTATCTTCTATCATAAACAGCTAACATTTATCTAGCACTTACCACCTGCCAGGGCTTCTGCCAAGCACTTTACATGTATCATTCCACTTACTGTTCACAAACCTGCTACTTCTCTTGGTTTTATGGATTAGGAAACTGAAACATGAACTCGACCAAAGTGATTCAATTAGCAAACAGCAAAACTGATTTCCTGATTTTCTTACTCTTCCCCAAATCTCTCCTTCCTCCTGTGGTCCTCCTCCTGTCTGCCAGCTGATGGGAACTCCATCCTTTCAGTTTCTTGGGGCCAAAACTTTGAGCCATTTTTGATTCTTCTCCTCTCAAGGCCACATTCAAGGCTTTGGGAAATTGGTTATCTCTACTTTCAAAATATGTATAATCCCACTCTGACCACTGCTCTCTATCTCCATTTCCACCTCCTGATTCAAGCCGCCATCATCTTCGTCCAGAAATACTGATATAACGCTTCTAACTGGTCACACTACTTCCTTCCTGGTCCCCTTATCCCCCCATAGGCTGAGTGAGCTCTCAAATGCAAATCAGCTCATGTAATTACTCTGTTCAAAAGCCAAGGCTGCCTGCTCCATCCCCCAGTATCTTCCTGCTGGCTGCAATCCCATTCATGCTCCATTACAGGCCTTCCCTCTCTTCCATGAGCATGAGGGGGACTCCGGCCTCAGGGTTACTGCTCTGGGTTTGGAATGCTTCACCCTTGCCTGCCTTCCCACTGCCTCATGGTTAACTTCCTCACTATGCAGGTCTCTACCCAAACACCACCTGCTTAGTGTAGCTACTACTCTATATTCACAACTGGAACCACACACCCAAGTCGTACTAAGCCCTCTGACTTCGCTCTTTTTTTCCCGTAGCACGTGTGACCCTTTAACATAGCATGTAACTTATTTATTGTGTTTATGATTCCTTGTCTGCTTCTCCCTTCACCACACAGAGCACTGATTCCATTGTATCCTCTGCTGCACCCCAAGCACCCTGAGTGGTGCCCAGCATACTGTGATAATGAATATTTGTTGAATATGTGAATGAAAGAACTTGGATCTCAAATCTCAGGCTTGTTATAATTTTGTTGGAGACCACTACCACATTCTCAAGTGAAAATGGAAGAGTGCATTATCTTTTGAGGTGGTTTTGATTAAGGGTCCACTGAAGACAGAATTTAGTGGCACGTGTTCAGATGAGGGAGATAAGAGATGTAAGTGGCAGCTGGAGTGAGTCAGGAAGATGCAGTGGGCTTTTCTGGGAATTCTTTTGATTTTGCAATAAATATATTGGTAAGGTCACCCTTTCTTCTTTCCTTAAAGGGCAGGACTATGTAGCCCTGTATGTGCCATATCACGGGTTTATTCCTGAGACGCTTTCCCTCCCCACTTCCCTGTCCTTGTGGTCTCAAGGGCAGCAGCTGCTTCTCTGTGGTATGGTCAGACATAATGAGAAATACAGATCCAAACTGCTGGATCACTCAAAAGCTGAGAAGAATCTGGAATGGAGTTGTAAGATTTGGGATATTTTGATCATTTCCTGCAGGTTGGTAGGTTCCAAAAGTGTCAATTTCCAAACGAATCAGGCAGGGTACACTTAAAGAAATTTTGCATACAGTTTTCAAATTTGGTGGTGTCCCTCTCAGGCCTCCAGATTTGAGGGTAGACCTAAGGCCTGAGACACGGGCATTTCTCAGGGGTGACACTTCTCTGTGGCAACCCTAGTCTTTCGCGTTGGTCAAGTAAAACATTTCCATCATCCGTGCCCATTACACTGTCTTACCCTGTTTTTAAGAAAATTGCTTTGCTCCTAACACAGGATGAAGATTGGTGGTAAGAATAGTGAGAAGAAAGATGGGCTTTCTGGTTCACGTGGGATGACTCATTCTTACCTCCTCTGGCTTCAACACATGCTTGCTACCACTTGTTCACCTGTGATTAAGGACACAGCCCTAATTACTGAGAGTTTCTAACAATATATCTTCCAAAGGCCAGCCAGGAAGTGCCCAGAGTAACTTCCTAAGCCCTGTGATCAGGCGCATCACATTAGTTTCTAGCATGAGCTAATGGAAAAAGTTAATTTTGTTAAAGAAATGGAATATTCAGACAAGGATTATTTTGGAAATGTTCATGTTAGAGGCTGAAATCTTTGCACGAACTAAGTAAGCTCTGACTGCCCCCTGCCCAGCTGGGCTCTGAGATGCTGACCCTGGGCAGGAGCAACTGCACTGGCTGAAGGGTCCTCAGTCATAGCTGCGCACCACAAGCTCCCAGGAGGTCCCGAACCACCAAAGCCACAGTTCATGCCAGGGTTTCAGGTTCAATCAGTCTGGCATGAGGCCAGGGCATCCATCTTTTTAAAAAAGCTCTCCAGGTGATTTTATGTTTAGCCAGAAATGAAAACTGCCTGACATGAAGGATCCAGAGAAGGAACATCTGAGGAGCTGGCGGAGAGAGCACAGTGCCCATTCCTTCCTCTCATTTTTATCCCAAGGGCTCCTTCCTCTCCTCCTGCTTCACCCATTTTCTTCTCTCCTGGATTATTTCCACAATCATATAAGCAAGTTGCAATTTCTCCCATCTTTAATAAAAGGCCTGCTATACACCCCACATGCTCCTCCAGCCAATGCCCATTTTCCTGCATCCCTTTGGAGAAAAACTCCCAGAGACACACTTTCTGTATAGGCTGTCCAGTCCCTTTCTGTTCAGTCTCTTAGGTCCATTCGTTTAGCCATCTACCTTGACCACTGCACAGACACAGCCCACCTTCCCATCTGTGAGTTCAGGTCTCCCCCACCAACCACAGAAATGGGGAATCAGGAGGACTCAAAATAGGTTTTTCTTTCTTTTTTTTTTTGAGACAGACTCTGTTGCCCAGGCTAGAGTGCTGTGACATCAGCTTTGCTCACAGCAACCTCAAACTTCTGGGTTCAAGGGATCCTCTTGCCTCAGCCTCCCAAACAGCTGAGACTATAGGCAACCATCATAACACCTGACTAATTTTCCTATTATTAATAGAGATAGGGTCTCATTCTTGCTCAGGCCAGTCTTAAACTCCTGACCTCAGGTGACCCTTCTGCCTCGACCTCCCAGAGTGCTAGGATTATAAGCATGAGCCACCACACCCAGCCCACAGACATTTCTGATATACTCCAGGGTAAAGCACACCTCTGTCCAGCCTGTGGCTGGTATTACAGTGCCAGAATGAAGAACTGAACAGTTTTCTGGGAATACATCTGGATAGGGTTGGTGCTTAAACAATGTGGATGACAATAACAATGAGGTCTTTAGTAAAGGAAAAGGTTATGACTTACACAGTGTGTGGTGGTGATGATGACAGAACTGGAGATGAAAGAGAGGCCATCATTCATGCTGACCTGGAGCGCAGCTTTCCTGCAATGACAACAGGGGAACCAGAGACACTCAGCACAGTGTGCAGTGAGCAATGGGCCCAGAGCTGCCAGAAACACAGATCACCTTTGGGCTCTGTTCTTTTTTTTTCCTTTTTCTGAGATGGAGTCTCTCTCTGTCACTTGAGCTAGAGTGCAGTGGTGTCATCAGAACTCACTGCCACTTTAAATTCCCAGGCTCAACTGATCCTCCTGCCTCAGCCTCCTTAATAGCTGGGACTATAGGTGTATGTCATGATATCTGGCTAATTTGTCTATTTTTAGTAGAAATGAGGGTTTAACTCTTGCTCAGCCTGGCCTCAAACTCCTGACCTCAACAATCCTCTTGCCCTGGACCTCCCAGAGTGCTAGGGTTACAGACATGAGCCACTGCGCCTGGCCTTGGGCTCTTTTGTTTAACTATCCTTGGGACTGCAGTCTCTTCTCCCAGGGGGGCTCAGTTTCCTTCTTTGTAAAATGTGGAGGATGGTCTCTATGGCCCATCCTCCTCTCTAACTGTTTATTGAGATGCCAGGATGTGCACGGCTGGTACAGTAAGGCAGTACATGCAGACCTTCTTGTGTTGGAGCACATGGCACTGAATGGGTAAAGCCTGCCTCCATTTAACTTACTGGTCCCCCTGTAGTAGGACAAAGTATTTTTCAAAAATGGTCTAAGTCCATGAGGATAAAGTGGACAGACTATAAACTAGATATCCCACCACCATTATCTGGACTGCCAGTGATCTGGGGGGGGGGGCTTTGCTATACCCAGCAGACTTACAGAGGTAAAGCAGTGGATGAACTCATCTGCCTTCTGCCTCCTCCCATCTATAGCAGCCTCAATGAAATTCAGTTTCCGTTTTGCTGCCTTTTGCCCCATGGGCATTGGGCTAATGTGTGAAATCAGTAGTATCACAAGCTGATGATGTTAGGCAACCAGAATTGGAAGTCTTGTAGTATAAATAAATGATTAAAAGCAGAATTCAGATGAACAATTTTAATATTTTTTCCTTAAAACTGCCATCCTTCCTCCAGTAGACATGACTTTGCAGAGGCTGCTTTTTTTGTTTGTTTCCTGCACCAACATCCCCTCTCTGATTTTCCATGTTTTTCTTTTCTTGCTTAGGGTGCTAATTCTCTTTCTTCTGTTGAATATTGGATCTCATCTCATTAGCACTTATTATACTAGCATGAGATTCTCCCCCAGAGGTTATTTCAGCAAACTCCATCTGGTCTGGGTGAACACCCAACACTCTGAGGCGGAGCAGCGGAAGGAGCAGTGAGGGTGAGGTCAGAGGTCTAAATCTGTGGTCTTGGTTTGCCATGAACCACATGTGGGCCCACTTGACCTTCCTACAGCCTCCTTTTCTCTACACAGGAGCTAACAATCATCTATCAGGGCAATAATGATGACAGGGCAAGGTAATGTGTGTGACAGCTTTGTAGAAGCAAAGCTGTGATTAAACCAGACGGGTTATTGGGTTGAGCCCAAACTCTTCCACTTGTTGCTATAGGACCAAAGGACAAGCTACTTAAATTCTCTCAGCCTTAGTCTCTGTCTGTCCAGCTGGAGTAGTGGGAATATCTGGTTTATGGGGAAGCTGGGAGAGTGGAGTGAGATTCTCTGTAGGACACTTATTCGGGGGCCGGGCTCATAGGCAACACTATCCTCATCATTCCCTGAGGAGTCGGGACAATGGCGCCACTGTGACAGTGTAGAAAGACAGTTTCTTTTCTTTGTGTCCCCTCTATCTCCTCTCTCCTCACTGGCTGTGAGGTTCAGTTCCTGGTGAAAACTTACATGCCAACTTCTTTTAAGATAGGTGCTGGACACAGCAAATAAGTATCTTCCACAGCAAAGGGCTTCTCATCTGCAAAAAAGGAAGTCACTGGATTAAGAGGAGTGAGGCAAGTTTACAATTTCAAATTCAGTGACTTCTAGAGAACATTAGCTAAGCCCAGACAGACACCACTAAAACCCCAAACTTTTCCAGATAAAAACTCCCCTTGTGTGGTGAAATCTATTAGCAGTGATCTCACAGGCTCCTGCCTGGAGACCAGTTTCCTAATCCTGTTCTGTCTGGTGGGGCCAACCAGTGAGCAGACAGTGAGTGCACTCCTAGATGGAGCAGGGGAACAGGGAAACTGAGGAAACAGGAAGACATGAGACAGGTGCTAAGGAGCTTCACGTTTAAGTCTAGTTAGAGAGAGAGGCCGGATTTGTGGGAAAAGTTTGCTGACAAATATAAGAAGTGACTAAATCAAAAGATCATTGGGCCTCAGAAGACAGGAGCGTCCCTTATATGAGTGACGTGGTCAGATCCCACCAAAGTGCCAGACGTGAGTTGTGCTTTAGTGGGGAGAGGGGGAAAGGCATTCCTGGTAAGAGGAATAGTGCAAAGGAGGACAGGTTTTACTGATTTTTTTTTTTTTAAAAAGATCAGTGTAGAAAGAAGTTTGGCCCAAGTTCTTTGAGTCTGAGGGATTTGGACAAAGTTCTATAACTTATGAAAAGAACTTTGGTGGCTTTTTAAGTATAACTGAAGTGGTGATTTTGGAGATCTTAGTACAGCGGTTCTGACCTGTGGGTCGCGACTCCTTTGTAACAAGGAAAATACTTCCTGCCTATCAGATATTTACATTAGGATTCATAACAGTAGCAAAATTACAGTTATGAAGTAGCAACAAAAATAATTTTATGGTTGGCGGTCACCACAACATGAGGAACTGTATTGGAGGCATTAGGAAGGTTGAGAACCACTGTCTTCGTAGATGTGGTGGGGGAAAATGGATTAGAGCAGCGGGCACTGGAGGTGGGGGAGCTCTTGCTCTTGTTCTTATGGATACCATGAAAAGTTCTAAGAGGCTCTCGTCTCAAGCTCCTTAAGAACTGCATGGTGCTCCAGGTCCAGGGCCAGAGGTATGGCTGAGAAGTTATTTACTGGTATATAATCGTCATTTCTTCATGTCTGTACATTTGTTGGGTACACATGCTGCACAAAAGACTGCGGTAGGGCCTGTAAGTGAAGTGAAGGTGAATAAAATTTGTTCCACTTGTGACGGTGACCTCAAATATCTCTAACTAGAAGATACAAAGAAATACATATACTACTGAAGGATGATATTCTGCTACTGGCCTTTGTTGTAAAACTCATGTCTCTTACGACGTTTCTAAGTTGTGACTGTAGAGTACAGCTTGCCTGGGTGGAGATTGGGAAGTCTTGTGTCCTGTATGCCTGGACTCATGGAGCAGAGTTACGTAGGATGGGAACACTAAGCTTTGAGCCCTAAACACTGTGTCCCTATTGGAAGAAGGGGGAAGAAGAAGTCCAGGGAAATCTCCAAGCAGTGCAAAGTTAGTGAGGTTATTCCAAGTCATTTGTTCATTCATTCAGTCAACACATATTTACTGAAGGCCTACTATATACTAGAGATACAGGCTTTGAGAAGAGAAACATGATCCCTGCTTTAACAAATTTTATGAATTCTGCAGAAGAGATAGTTATTCAACATTATTATAAAGTATATTCTTTGAGTGTCTACCATGTATCACTGTGCAAGGGCTTGCAGTGAATGAAACAGATGAAGCTCCTTGCTCAAATTAGTATTTCATTGTAACTGTGCTGCAGGCAGGAGGAGGAGGAGAGTGGCTATGCTCATCTGGGAAGTCGAGAGACACTTTCCTATGGAAAGGCTACGTAAGCTGAAACCAGAAGGTCAGGTGAGAAGGGGGCTGGGAGAAGAGGCAGCACAGCAAAGGTCTTGGGGCAGGAAGGAGCTCATCTTGTGTGAGCTAAAAGAAGGCCAAGGAGGCTGTGGAATCTGAGTGAAAACAGACAACGGCTCAAAGGAGGCTAGAAAAACAGCAGGGTCAGATGACCAAGGCCAGGTAGACCATGGAGAAGCTTCTGGGATTGTCCCAAAATAACAGGAGACTGCTGGGGGTTACCCCCATATTTAGAACCTGCCATTGGCAGATTAGGGAATGCTGCAGGAAGACTGAAGGTGTGTTGAATACAATTCTGAAGTTGCTCATGATAGTGCAAGATTGGGCAGTGGCTGAACTGAGCATTTGTTTTTAAGATGTTTTCCCTTCTGAGGTGCTAATACACACATACGGGCAACTCCCCAACTTTACGATGATCCAACATGTGATCGTCTGACTTGATGAAGGTGCTTTCAGCTGTGTATGTTATTGGTGAATACCCCTATACGACTGTTCTGTTTTTCACATTTAGAAGAGTAGTCAATAATTATACGAGACATTCAATCCTTTATTATAAAATTGGCTTTGTGTTAGAGGATTTTGCTCAACTGTGGGATGACATAAGTATTCTGAGCACTTTTAAGGTAGGTTGACTGATGATGTTTTCAACTTATGGTGGCTTTATCAGGATGTAGCCTCATCGTTTAAGTCGTACAGACTCTGAACAGACAGCCAGGGTCATCCATGCTACATGTGTGCCTCTCAAGCTCTTCATGCATATCATTTAATCAAATTGAACCTCCTAGCAAAGCTACTGGGATGGAATATTACTTGTTTCATGATGACCTAGAGCAGTGGTTCTCAACCTTCCTAATGCCACAACCCTTTAATTCAGTTCCTTATGTTGTGGTGACCTCTAACTATAAATTATTTTCGTTGCTACTTCATAACTGTATTTTGCTACTGTTATGAATCGTAATGTAAATATCTGATATGCAGGAGACCCCCAAAGGGGTTGTGACCCACAGGTTGAGAACTGCTGACCTAGAGGAACCAATATAGAGGCTTTAAGTAACCTGCCCAGTGTTACCCAGGAAGCGTGGGGATGCCCCAATGCAGTCTGGCTTACACACATGGTCCACGTGCTTATCCAGTAGTTTGTACCGACATCCTTGATAACAGCTGCACTCCATTTCTGTCCCATGACCTTGCAAGTTAAGGCAGGGCAGGAGTCATTAGGTTCATTTTTCATATGCAAAACAAAGGCTCAGAGAGGTGACAACCACTCATGATTGCACAGCAAGTCAGAGGCAAAGCCAAGCTAGCACTGAATTCGGCAGTACTCATTCCTCATTAAGTTCCTCTCCATTTCTGGAAAGGCTGTGTTAGAGAACAGACAGACCTTGGGATAGGTAAGGCTGACTCCAGCCTGTATTTATCTGATGGCCATGGCTTACCCTGTGCACAGGCACCAACAGTACCTGGGAGTGCAGATTCCTGCCCACAGAGCCAGCCCACAGAGCCATGGAGCAGCCACAGAGTGGCCGCAGGAGGCCTCGTGACTCCTGGCTACATTCTGTGGGAAGAGTTGGGTCACACCAAAGAGGGCGTCCGAGGTAGCACAGTGCAATGCCTGGTGGCTGGCTTGCTGGCTCCTGTGTCAGCCTGACCTCACTTCCGCTGCCTCTCAACACCTCCCTCTTCCTCCATCCCAGCTGGAAAGGAGTGAGAGGATGAGTGCGGCCCATGTCAGGGAGACACTTCTCACTTTCCCCCTCCTTTCATTCTCCAGTTCTGCTTGGGAGACCAGGCATTGCTGGAGCACAGCAGAGGAAAGCTTGCTGGGAGGGCCGGGGAGGTTTTGTTGAGGTTGTAGGACAGGCTCCTTCCCTCAGAGTGTATCAGCCTCCCAGGCTGTGGCCTGCTCTGAGGAGCTGGCATTTTCTGCTCTGAGAGGAATTGTTTGGTTTGGAGCCTGTTTTCACTTTACCACAAAAATGAGTGACTTTTTTTCTTCCTCTCTCTAAACAAAGGAGGACCATTTGGTTTCCATAACTCAGGTCATCTGACTTCTTCCTGGAACGTCCACTGGGGAAGCAGAACACGAAACCCTCCTCAGCTGCTCCCCGGCCGGGCCATGGTTGGCTCAGGGGCCATGCCAGCCTCACTGTGACCTGTGCCAATGCCAGTGTGTGGTGACATTTACCAGGACAAAATCTACTCCTAGGACAATGGAGGCCCCTGCCTGCCTGCCTGCTGGGCGGCCATTGTGTTGGTCACCAGCACCGAGTGGGCAAGGGAAATGGAGATCAGGGGTTTGGATTGGCCTCCGTGGCTTTTGTTTGCAAATGAAGAGAAAATCAGGGAGAGGTAGGAGTTTGAAACTAGAAGTTAAACATAATTTTCAAATAAACTTGAAATATAAATTTCCTTTTCCATTACCAAAGATATTTCAGAATTCTGTTCATACCCAAGTCATAGTTCACCCAAAACATTTGTCTACAGGAACCTGATAAGCTTAATTTTACTCAGGATTTGGGGATCACTGAGTATCATTATGTTAAACTGCCAGC